ACTCCATTTGGTAACTATTACTAAGTGGAGTACCGTCCGGTCGAATATGAAAGGCACACATATTTTCAATTGTCCATTGCATATGTGGACATCAACTATTGTTTTGCAAATTTTAAATATGCGGAAGGATATATAAGCATCCCATATTAATTAAACTATTATAAATATGTACAAGGATTGCTAATGCATATGCGGACAAGTTATATTCACCACGGTCTGCCGTGGTAGTTGGTTGCCTCCCTCGCAGATCAGTCTTTCGGTGGTTCTGTTTACAGTCTCATGAGTCACTAGGGACCCTCGTGACTCGTTTGCTCCCTCGGGCCCATCGTCGTCGTGTTGTTTTGGTGCCATCGAAAGCTCTCGCCGCCGATGCGGGGTACTAAGTAGTACTGCTGCGTATACCCTGCGTCTCAGTGGGGTATTGGTACAAGGTGTGGCGCTCTCGCAGTGTCATCTGCGCACTGCTTAATGTTTCAGTGGGTGCGTCGGTCGTCAGTACCGCCCAACGCAAAATAGGATGTTCGGGGCCAATCTGTGGCTCTCTCTATCTTATTCTACAGTCTACTGCAAGAGAACAGGAGAACAAGGGCACTGTGAACAAAGACTTTGCCTCTTGTGGATACTATTATCCTTAAAATGCTCCAAGAGGAGCAGAAATTGTATAAAAGGGCCTCAAGGTTTTGAAGTACCCGTGTTACCCTGGAATGGCCGATGTGTCACATCAGGAAAATTCCTGGCTGACTTAGCATGACTTACCATACTTGGAATTTCTGCCTAAGTGAGGCTAAGTAAACTTTAAGTAAATTTAGTCTTAAAAAAAGTGTTTTTCGGAAGGTGACCTACTGAATGTAAACTTAAATGTACTTTATCACACTTAGCTTTTAGTTAAGAACACAAATAAGTGTGCTAAGCGGACAAAATATTCCAAAGTCAGAATTTGTGGTGGCTGTGTGACGAGAAGAAATGGAAATGCCAACCTTGCAAAAAGTACCACCATAGGCCGGACATGGGTGACAAAGAGTATTCATCGAGAAATGCTCGCAATCGACATACGTAAGCAGATGCACTTAAGTTTAGTTCTTGCTGACTCTTGGTCAAGTGCTAGACGACACGACGAATGGCAGGATCTTGAGCTGAAGATGATCGGGGCCATTCCTGGCGAATATCGATGCCCCTCCGGGGACTTGTAAGTAACCATATAAATGCACAATTGATTTTACGCTGACGACTGATTGTTTAGTAATGCCTCCACTATCGAAGATGTCTTTGCGCACTGCATTTCGGATGCGTGCGTCCACCAGAGCCGCTACGAGTCTATGCAAGACGCAAGCATTGCACGTATTTCTTTGTTCAATCCAAAGGAGCATCGCAAATCGACCGACCGACGACTGAACAAAGCGAAGCGCAGGCAAAGAGTGGCGGATGTTATAATTGACAGTGATATGGAAGGGGCGGGGACGGAAGACGGGACATCAGAGAACGACGCAGATTCCACCGCAGAGACGATGGAGCGCTTCAGCCAGCTGAGCGTTGATAGCATACACGCGGCCGCCTGCAAGGTAAGTGACTAAAAATATTGCTGTTGTTTCAATACTTATTTTCTAGTAAGGCCTCCGTCCCTTACGACAAAACCAGTCAACCTCACCTGGAGGCTATGATCGAGATCAGCGGTGCATATAAGGCCGGTACCCTCAAGTATGGTGTCCCACCCGGTGCATGGGATAAGCTCCGACGATATGTGTCGGATGATTCTGATGGGGTACAAGAATACGAGAACGATGATTGAACGTCTGTACATACATACGCACTTGGCGGACAAAATGACAATACAATTACAGTGTATGAAGTGGCTCTGCGACCTTCACTCCACTCCATTTCTTAGCAGGAGCTCAGCCTCCAACCTCAACGCTTCAACCTTCTTGGTTATAGTATCGTTCTCGAGTCTTGCAGCGGCGATCCTCAACCTGTCCGACTTGAGTTGTGTCTTGACTATGGCTGCCTGAATCTGCATGTTATCGTAAGAGATCCTTTCACAGTGTTTGATGAGCATATCGATCGCCGGTTTGGTAAATTTTGGAGTATCAGCTTTGGGAGGAAGTGACTTTTTGGGCACTTTGGCAGTTGGTTTAGCATTCGAGTCTGAGGCCGGCTTGGGAGCGCTAATGAGTACAGATTCTAGTCAGTTCGCACTTGTCAATTCTATGATTAAACATCCGCACGACGACTTTTCCGCAACTTTAGCGAATTTGCGTTTCTTCGGTACGCGGGGACGCGGAGATCCATCTGTCGATGACAGTTCAAAATCGAAGTCAGTTGGGTTGATGGACTTGATGGATGACATCGGTATGAAAGTGATTGACGCGAGCAAGGTCGTGGGTAAGGTCGCGGGTAAGGTCGCGGGTAAAAAAGAATCCTTCGAACCGGCGTCGATCCGGTGGCCTCAAGATCTCGTCGAACATTATATCCTATTACAGTCTTGCGCTCTTCCAACTGAGCTATCGAAGGATCTACCCTCAGAATATATTTCTACGCAGTGAGGTCACGTAGAATTGCGCAGATGACAAGATATAACCTATTACAGTCCCACGCTCTTCCATCTGAGCTATCGAAGGCTAACAATTTGTACTCAACAATACGTCTATTATACAAAGGCCAAGAAAAAGTAACACCTAGTTGCATTCAAACTTGAAGGTGATTGTTGATGACAAGGGGCCTTGGGACTCGGATTAGCATCGGTGGTGATGATCGTCAACAGCGCACGTCGTTCGAAGTCGCTAGGCAGTGTTTTTTTCTTCTTTTCCATCCGTCACTGTCATCGTTAGAGCCGTGGGGTGACTGAGCATGAAGACAATTAAGGGCGCAGTACCCGGACTAGCGCAATGAATGGTGGTCCCAAGCCAAAGTATGGCATAGTCACAATAGTATAGTAATGCTGGGCGAGAATTGTTCTCGGAGGTTGGGGCGAACATGGGAGGCGCCATGGTTTATGAACAGACGATAGTCGACGGGTAGACCGAACGACGAGTTTGGGGACGGAGAGTACCATCCGTCTTCAAACTTACTGGCAAAAACGGAGCTGTCGCAGTTCCTTCACTTGAGGATAGGAACAAAATCGCAACGTCTTCAGGTATCACCATATTTGGAGGTATTGATCAGATGCAAGGCGGTATTTACGTCTGTGAGCCAAAATACCGTCGAACGGCGCAACGTGGACGAATTGCGATGGAAAAAACTGCTGTGCGCGAGGACGAGCAAACAATGTCATGACTGACCTGCTAAGTGGCACGTCCAGAAGTTCTTGGCGGTGACGTCTTTATAATGTACACACAGCAGACGGCGTCAAATTTGCACCTATCCCAAATTCATTCGAAATCCTATCGTAATGTTATCGTTTGGGAGAGAATTTGCGATGGTGGCAAATTATTTTTCAAATCCTAAATATGTCAATTCTGTTGTTCTATGTGCAAATTGTTTGGGAAGAACTTAGAATGTGATAGGCACACAAATCCATAGGCCATATGAAGGGTCCCACTGGACAAAACTAATACTTTCCAAATTCTGAAATTTCTTTTTCAAACTCCGAAAAAACTTTGCAAATTTGGGATAAACTTCCGGGAAAGGAAATGTTCAAAGTCCGACAACTTTTCAAAATCGGACAGCCACTCCCAATATGGTTTACCATCCAGATGCGGACTGTGGCTATGCTCTCTCACATCGGTCTATGAATGGCTTTTGCCTTGTAACGGTACAATATCTACATATTTCCGGTTTATTTTCTCTATAGATGTCCTAATTAAGGTATTTTACACCTACTTAGACTATTATATTCCCTAAATGCCCCAATAAGAACTATATCTACATCTTCTGCTCATTTGCAGATTGGCTTTATGGCTTCCTTTCATGTTTACAATAGGCAGGTATTAATACATTGCCTCATGCATATAGGATAGCTACAGATGTATAATACTCTGCAATAAATGGAAGGGAGCTTGTACAGCTACTTGTAGCTAATGGTATGTTGCATTGAGGGCCCTCTTCCCAAAAAGACCCAACCATCCACCATTTGGCTAAAATTACACCTATAAAGATATCTGCCACTGCATATTCAGTGTAGGTACCCATGTGAGCTGTGGGAGAGTAAACTCTCCATGTGGCTGAAATATATAGACATGGTGCTCATTGGGACATAGAGCACTTATTAGAAAGTTTTGATAAAGTGTGGGCATGTAGGGTACATTATATAATATATCTACCCAAGAAACTGTGTGGAAATACACACAGCTGATGGAGATACAGGCCAAAGAGTCCTGGGTGGCCAATATCTAACTGTACAGCCACTATTCACATTTGGATCGTCGCCATGTTCCCGGTGGCTGTAGCTTTTGGAAAGTTGTCGGGTGTTTTAGTAATTTCATTTTCTGAGATTTCACAAGTTTTTTTGGACTTTGAAAAATAAATTTCAGAAATTGGAAAGCTAAAAGTTATGTCCATTGCAACCCCCCATAAGGCCCCGCCACACAATAACATTTGTCCCTGAGAAAAACTCAGAATTTTGCAAATCTATTGACAAGTTTCAAATATGGTAATCTATTTGAGGAAAGGACAAATTCGTCCAAAAATGATAACATTACGATAGGATTTCAAATGAATTTGGGACAGGTGCAAATTTGACGCCGTCTGCCGTGACGTTTCAAGGGGATATATTCTTCACCAAAAAAATGAGCTTGGCATGCGTGAAAGTCGGAACTCGCAAGTTTGTCCAAGTTTGGAAGTTCCTGTATGAACAACTTAGTTTGGCTCTATTATCAACTAGCTATACCCAATTTCGATATGCAGCTCGCTGAGATTTCAAATAACGCTTTGTCGTTTCATATCATAATTTTTCGTATATTACACAGATGGTGTTTACTGGCGCGTTTCATATCCTAATATCCAATGACTGTCATTGACCTATTCGTGTACATCAACATAGAAAACATGGTACAACACATTGTAAGACAACAATGTCTCTGTAAGCAACAAAAGCCTAAGGGAACTGAAGTATTACGGGTGTGTGCTCCCTTGTCCATCCAACATAACCAGACCCGTGAGTGTGCCAACCATAATATGAATTGTCAACAGGGAGCCTGCCCAGACAATGACCAATATTTGATTCTGTAAACCACCCCTTGTCAAAGGAAATTATTTGACAGTCTGGTGCAGACGTGAGTACATCATCATCAGCTTTTGGCCGTGATGGGAGAAATTCAACCCCCGTCCTTGTATCCCAAACTCGAATGGTGATACCATTAGACCTAGAGAAAATTTTTGATCCATCGGGCGAGAATGCGACTGAATTAACGGAATTATCATGGCCTTGCAGCAGTGACAGCATCTCAATGCCTGTGCTCGCATCCCAAATTCGAATGGTCTTGTCACCAGACCCAGAGACGATTTTGGATCCATCGGGTGAGAATGCGACAGAAAAAATGTAACCATCATGGCCTTGCAGCGGTGGTGGTATCTCGACACCTGTGCTCACATCCCAAATTCGAATGGTCTTGTCCCAAGACCCAGAGACGATTTTGGATCCATCGGGTGAGAATGCGACGGAAGAAATGGAATCATTGTAGCCTTGCAGTGGTGGCAGTATCTCGATGCCTGTGCTCACATCCCAAATTCGAATGGTCTTGTCAGCAGACCCAGAGACAATTTTGGATCCATCGGGCGAGAATGCGATGAAATAAATGTAACCATCATGGCCTCGCAGCGGTGGCAGCATCTCGACGCCTGTGCTCGCATCCCAAATTCGAATGGTCTTGTCATAAGACCCAGAGACGATTTTGGATCCATCGGGTGAGAATGCGACTGATATGACCCAATAATCGTGGCCTTGCAGCGGTGGCGGCATCTCAATGCCTGTGCTCGCATCCCAAATTCGAATGTTCTTGTCAAAGGACCCAGAGATGATTTTGGATCCATCGGGCGAGAATGCGACGGAAAAAATGTAACCATCTTGGCCTTGCAGTGGTGGCAGCATTTTGACACCTGTGCTCACGTCCCAAATTTGAATGGTCTTGTCACCAGACCCAGAGACGATTTTGGATCCATCGGGTGAGAATGCGACAGAATCAACGTTACCATTGTGGCCTTGGAGTGGTGGCAGCATCTCGACGCCTGTGTTCACATCCCAAATTCAAATGGTGTTGTCACCAGACCCAGAGACAATTTTGGATCCATCGGGCGAGAATGCGACGGAATAAATGTCATCATTGTGGCCATGCAGCGGTGGCAGCATCTCGACGCCTGTGTTCGCATCCCAAATTCGAATGGTCTTGTCACGAGACCCAGAGACGATTTTGGATCCATCGGGCGAGAATGCGACGGAATAAATGAGACCATTGTGGCCTTGTAGCGGTGGCAGCATCTCGACGCCTGTGCTCGCATCCCAAATTCGAATGGTCTTGTCAACAGACCCAGAGACGATTTTGGATCCGTCAGGTGAGAATGCGACGGAATGAATGTAATGATTGTGGCCTTGCAGCGGTGGCAGCATCTCGACGCCTGTGCTTGCATCCCAAATTTGAATGGTCTTGTCATCAGACCGGGAGACAATTTTGGATCCATCGGGTGAGAATGCAACGGAAGAAATGGAATTATCATGGCCTTGAAGCAGTGGGAGCATCTCGACGCCTGTGCTCACATCCCAAATTCGAATGGTCTTATCATGAGATCCAGAGACAATTTTGGATCCATCGGGAGAGAATGCAACGGAATAAACAGTGCCGTTGTCGCTATGGAACAGCTGTAACAGTCGAGGCCACATCTTCTCCGCACCACAAATTACTTTAAGCAGCCCTTTATGACAAAACTTCTCATAGATGCTCGTATTGGCTGGTGCAAATGGCAGTGCACTTATATAAAGCAATAGTGGATGTTCTTCAATTGTATTCGCAAAGTACTGTGTGAACCGATGACCATCATACACGAGCTGGTAGAGATCCGTGTGCATTGGTGATGATTTCTAGATGCAAAAAAAAAGTCAGTTCCGAGCGTCTAACAACCATGTTGGATGACAGACCCAAAGCCAATCAAGAAGGTTTTGAAGCGATCAGATGGTGTTGCTGTGGCTCTTCAACACTGCCAATGCCTCCATCCAATGTAGGAGATGCCGACCCAAGAATCCGTATATCAGATCCCCAATGTCATTTGCGGCATGCGTGATCAGGCAGATATGTTCAACCCAGAATTTGCACGCATAGGACACGGCATCGGATGGGCCTTCATTCTGGACGGGATGCGGGAGTGTCAGTCCACAGATACTCTCATGCAGTGTATTGTCCAGAAATTGAATGCAATGACGAGCAAGTCTTTCGTTATGCAGCTCGAGGTCGATGGACCAAGGCTCGTTGCTATAGCGTCTAGCAAGATAGTCATGGAACGAAGGGTGTAGAGTACGGATTCCTTCCGTTTCGCTGATGTGGAGAACACATCCTAGGCAAGAGATTGACTCGAGGGATGACCTA